CCCATTTTAGTGCACCACAATGGTGAAGTAGCAGTGAGATCTAACCATGCACTGTGCACACAGCACAGTATGGGTGGTTACTGTGTCATGCTTTAGTACTTCCAAAAGGAAATAGTAAAGCACAGTGCAGTAACAACATCATCGTAGGTGACGTGTAGACATGCCCTATGAGTACTTCGGTGTAAGTGGTTTACCTACTCAGCTGGCTTCTGTAGGTGGGCTTTTGCTCCCTGAAGAGCTCCTCAGCCAAACCTCTCAGGAAATTCAGTCTTTAGGCCACCAGCAAGCTACCAAATAAACGAAACAAAATCTTCCTGCCCATCCCAAGCATGTGAGAAGTGCTTTGACTCTGGCTCCTAGCACAGTAGCCTAGTTCTGTTCTTGTAGCAAGCAGTTGCATATACCAGCAGTCAAGACCCTTTTACAGCTGTAGGCTGGATTGAACCAGTTTGGGTCAAAGGCAGGTTGGCGGATGGGTGGGCAGGCACTAGGACTCAGCCACTGTTGCTGCTTTCCCCTTCCTCCAGCATGCGAAAAACATCCACCAGTGCCACTTTTCCCTGAGGCCGCATAGGAAAAGTGCCTGCTGCTGGCATGCCTGCTGTCACTTTTCCTGTGGTGACACTGGAAAAGCAACTGCTATCGAATACCCCCATCACCCAATTGCACTGAAGCCCCATGTCTACAGGCTGGATCAGAAGGCTTAGCACCTTCAGGCTGTAGGTTGCCAACCCTTGGCATACACAGCTTGTTTCCTCGACCCCAGCTTATTCTTCTGGCAGCTTTGCAACTGGGCTTCTTCAACGGGGCTGCCTGGTCCCTCTTAAAGGGACAGACCACCCTGTTCCACTTAGGTATACAGATAGTTTGAGTAAACAGAACTCCTCAGCTCTTAAGATGGCCAGGTATGGACACATAGTAACTGTATCTGACTATCTGTGGGGCATCAATGTCTTTCTGCAGTTCCCCATGTATGACTTATCAGGTTCTCCCACAATTTATAGGGAAAGGATTCCAATTGTAGGGCAGCTGCAGTACAAAGGATCATGGTATATGGCTGTAGCACTACACATGATCAAATGTTATGCTAGTGAGTGCTGTGCCAGTGCCAGTGCTTGAATGTTATCTTGCAGCCTGGCTGGTTTCACTCAAGACAGTGCTGACATACTCTGAATGCTGAATGTGAGAAAAAGTTTGAGATAAAAGGTTTGAGCTTGGCTGTTCTTGAATCCAGCATCTTCCCTTTATCTGCAGGAAAGGTACAGCGTAGATGGTAACAGAGCAATGTTCTTTCATATTGTTCCCTTCTAGACTCTACCTAGTCTTCAAGGGAACATGTTGAGAGGAACCAAGTCTCCATTACATATTTCACACTTGCTGCTAAGGATGGAAAGGCAGGGGGGATGGAGCTGACAAAAGTAATCTGTGAGTGCCCTCCCCTCAGCTAGTCAACACTGAGGCCTTAGTGGCAGTCAGGAGGGGATGGTATATACAAAACTTATTATATTATTGAAAGAAGTAGATTCCCTGACACCATTATGGTTATGTTCCAAACCATGAAAGCTTTTGACTGCTTGTCACTATCCAGGTCTCCTTTCCCTTGCATCAACTGCTCACCATAACCAATGCCACATTTTGTTTTCAGTCAAGCTGGGTTGCTAACTAATTGTTCACATGTTCTGTTGTTGCAGATGAGGAGATGCCAGTGCAGATTTTTCCAGTGGAAGATGGAATGAAACAGCGGGAGCTTCCACCTCCTCCAGGTCGTGCTCCCCAGAGGCAGCCAAGGCAGCCACAGAGACCACCTCCCCAGTCTCAGCCTCAAGCACAGCAACTTGCAGCGCCCCCACGGCCCAGACCACGCACTCAGCAGAGACCTCCAAACCGCATAAAGGAGAGAACATAAATGCTTGGCCAGGAGGAACAGACACTGCCCCACAATCTTCCCTGATGTGAGCCACCAAAAAGATAGCTTTGCAAATAGCCAGGAAATCCTTCATACTTTCAGGACTCAGCAATGCAATGGCAGCATTTGTTGAGGAGGATCACTTCATATACACTCATGTCCTATACACTGAATCTGAAGAGACCCAGTGATGTGAATTGAGTTGATCAAGGTTCATCATCTTTGTCATTTTCCCCCTGGGAACACCCTGCTAATGTGGAGCCTTGAAATCTACTTCATTGTGCTTTGCTTGGTTTCACCAGATTTTACAGTCTTTCCGCTCTTGGGAGAGATTCTATCTAGAAGTCTCTACAGCTCTAATGAGATGACACCAACTCATTCCTGTTGCATGATTTTAACACATGAATCACTCTCAACACCTAAAGGCATGCAAACACTTCCTGACCTGTTGCAACCAAATATTTGACTTGCTGGTGGTCAGAAAAATAGCCCTGTGTATTACAGTGTGGGTCTGATGCAGAGGAGTCCTGGCAAGAAATTGAAACTCTGTTTCAAGGCCCCTTCATGCAAACTAGATCAGGGTTTCTGAGGCAGACACGTTTGTCAGCATCTGTTGCTTTGTGAGATTAATGTTACAAATCCCACCCAGAACCAAGCAATCCAATTAATATCTATGTTCACTGAATCTGGATGGCTTTCTTGTCATCACATGGTAACCTCTTGTTCTTGGAATGGGTCTGTGTTGGCCAGTTCAGACGCTAAGGTTAGTGTTCCACCTGCAGCCTCCTTGCTTGTGCCAGAGGGAGATGTTTATTATCTTGTTTTTTTCTGCAAGTGCTCCTGCAGCTCTTATGCTTGTCTGCCAGGTCCCCATCCAAACCGAAGGCTTCAGGAGGTCTTATTTGTTCTTTTTGTCCTGTGAACTATTTAGCAGACATCTGACACAGTGTGCTTCAGGTGATACCCAGAGGGTCCCTGTTTGAGAGTTCTGGATACAGATAGGCTTGTCTCATGACACATATCCACTGATTTCTGTGCTAACTGCTACAATAACTACCATGTCCATAGAGGAGCAATCTACTGAAAGCTCTCTCTTTAGTAGAGAAGACAATGCTTGGCTGGACTGCAGGACTTTGTATGTCATGGGAAGGCATTATTTCTTATTCCTCTGAACCTTGGAGACTTCTCTAACTTCTCTCTTCGGCTCTCAACTGGGACAGCAGCAGAGAGCCTAGCCTTCTGTTTTTTACGATATTGTTTTGAATGGATAAAACAGGCCCTCTGACTGCGCACTGAGCAAGGGGTGGAAATGAGATGTGGTGTGAATAGAACCTCTGCTGGAATTGCTACTTACAGAGCATTTCAGTCATGGCTCTTCTACTTAAAGCAGATGAATGTATTGCATGTTTCTGGGCTTGGAGTAGTTAATGTATTCCACTGGTGTTAAAAGATGTGTCTTGACTTTTTTCAACACACATGACTATTTTGAGTTTGCCAGTGTTGTTGCAGGTGGAGGGAAAGGGGCTGGGGAGAAGATGGATGCTCTGCCTGTTGAGTTGCTTTGCTTTGTTTTTCTTCAGATGCTACTCAGTATGACCTCCTGACTCCATTTCCTGCAGTCTGTCCTAATGCTTCCATTATTTAAAAGTTTATTGTTTCAATATCCTGTACTTTATTTTGCATGTGAGTATTAGTGTGGTGAGTAAATAAATAAAGATTAACAAATGGATGATGGGGCTTTAGCTAATGCAGATCCTGAATTTTTGATAATGGGATTTCATATTCTTATCAATGAGGCCACGAAAGTTGTGTGATCCCAGAGTCCAAAGTGCAAAACTGTCAGTGTCTAAGGGGAAAGATCCTTATCACTTTAGTGGTAGGGAAAGGTACCTGATATGTACTGCATGGGAGAAGAGTGTCTGTGCCACCTGATATTCTGAGATGGCTTGCTGTGCCCAGCCTGGATCTCCAGAGGTTTATCTGAAAGGTCCATCCTTAGTTACCATGAATTCATTTATTCCTTCAAGTGGGAGCAGGGGGAGGAGGCATGAGTCTGGGTAGAACTGAATGGGGAGAACTAGGCCTAAGAGTGGGTGAGGATTTCACTGTCATCCTGTAACATGCTCATCCTGTAACCCAGTGTTGGGGGTGGGGGAGGGTGGGCACCCTGTACCCATCCCTAATACTGCACTGTTATGGGTTAAAAGAATAGAATAGAGCTAGAATAATGATCAGCTACAGCATTTGCTCTATGAACATGTTATCCCTTAATCCTCTCGCTGCCCTATGCTGCCCCTCCTCTTTCAGGGTGATTTCCAGAAGAGTTGAGATATCTGCAGGGTGACGGGAGCTGACCAAGCTTCTTCACTGCCACAGGGAGACCCTTTTAACAAATTTTCACTGCCCAGGAAGGTGGTGTTACCTCTCAGATCCGTGTTCTTGGGGAACCCTAACACAGGACGCAGCCTGTCTGACTCACAAAGAATTTCCCCCTGCCCCTCCCCTCTTCTACTTGAACAAGAACTGATTATGAAAGACAAGATGCAGTGGGAGACACACCTAAAGCCCTCCAGATAAGGGTGACAAGAGTAAAACAACTGCCCTAGGTCTCATTTGCATCCGAGATGGAACCAGATGACAATTCATTTACATGGGAGATGGAGAACAGAGAGCCCGAAGCAAAGACTGCAGTGAATTCTGGGATCAGAAAAGCAGGGGAGCACTGCCTGATGGGGAACCTGTGCTCCAAATGCTAATCAACCCACATATACATACACCCAGCTCAGCATTTATCAGACCAATGCTAATCTGGATTTACAAAGGACTTTCCCTACCCTGTACACACACCTCATCTAACCAGAACTAAGCAGAAGTAAAGTTTGATAGGCATCTTGGGCCATACATTCTCCAGTCCCACTGTGGGAAGCCTATTTAAACTTGAGTGGCTAAAACTCAGTTGCCAGGTTAAGGAATGCTGAGACAAAGAGATTGAGTCAGAAGGGGTATGGGCAACATTTGAACAACGGTTAATGGTTCATCACAGCATCCAGCCCGTTGGAGCCCTGACCACAAATGCTGTCATACTTTTCCCAGGATGACTGGTGGAAGTCCTTCCCACAAAAGTTTATGAACACTTCAAGTAATCAATCTCTTCCAGTAAGATCTGGACAAGTCATGCTAAGCTGAGGCTTATTCACAACAGGTAAAAATCCAAAAACCTGACGCTGCAAGCTATCTATTGTTTCTGAAAACACAATGAGGTATCCCATACAGTATATTTGCTATCCATAAGAATTTCAAGCTGGCTCCTAAGTGTCTGGTTACTCCTTAAAAACTTATGTTTTCCTGGCTGTTAATCAGTTTGTTGAGATGTTCCAAACCAGATAACCCCTTGTCAATAGAAAAGACTATTATTTACACTATTAAAAGAATGCTTTGAAGAAGCTGAACTGAGGGTATAAAAATCTGTAAAAAAAAAAA